AACGTAGAGGTGCATCCCATATATCCTTCCGGTGTCTGCCCTGCCAGGGCAGAAGGGCCAGTGCAGAGCGGCCCAGGGCGAGCACCAGGGGAGAGGGGCGACCGGACACGCCTCCCAGAGAAGCCAGGGCAGCCCCTGGATGCCAGCTCAGCCTGCAAGGACACCCCAGAGAGGACCTCAGGACAGGGGGAGGGTGACAGGGACCTGTGCCCAGGACTGGGGGGATGGGACAGGGGGAAGCCCTGTCAGGGTGAGCCTGGTGACCCCCTCTGGGGCGGAACGTGGGCCCAAGCGTGGTGTCTGGGCTGCGGAGGGGCTGCCTCCCAGCCCTGCCTGCTCTTCACACCCTTTACACGAGGCTTCGGGGGGTTTCCACGGCCACTGCTGGGGAAGCAGGCCTGACCACAGGGGCCACACCGAGAGGCCCGGCCAGTCCCGGGAGGGCGATGAGCCCCAGCGTGGGAAGCGGAGCTCCGGGAGGCCCGCCCCGTCGCTGCACCAGCTGGGACGGGGGCCCTGCGTGGCGTTCTTTTTCTGGGACCCAACAGCGTCCCCTCCCAAGACGCTGCCGACGCTCCCCACAGCGGCCTAGGCCCCGCCCAGCTGCTCCCCACTCAGCGCAGCCCTGCCGCCCACCGACACAGAGACCTTGGAGCTGGACCCTCAGAACCACTTTCCCCGCAGCCCCCTTCCGCTCCGCGGCTAGGGCGCTCTCCGCCCAGCCCTGCGCTCCTGCAGCAGGTGCCCTGCCTGGCCCTGACGGAGCTCCACCCACTGAGGGGCTGGCCTAGGAGGCTCCTACCCTCCCAGCTCCCGGTCCCACACGCCCCCATGCTGCAGGGGACGCAGACGTGCAGGCCGAGGCAGGCCCGCCGTCCTCTCCGTTCCCCGCAAGCCCTCCCCAGGAAGGCCCAAGAGGCAATGAAGCTCCCAGCTCCAGCTTGGGGACCAGTGGGGAAAGAACCTGGTATATTCTAGCTGCCATTACAGGACCCTGCAGCCAGAGTCGTGTCACAGACCTTAAAGTCCATCACCAGAGGTCCCCATGCTGGTTATTCATCCAGCAATGAGCAACTGCCACCACCATAACGATGAGAAAATAATAACAGATGACAGTTGTTTGACAAACACCATCTCCCACCTTTACCACCACCCTGTGGGGGGCTGTTCTCTCCCCCTTTACAGAAGAGGAGACCGAGGGTCAGAGAGGACACGTGAGGAATTTGGGAAGCAGTGGAGCAAGTGAGAATTCGAACCCCCGAGCCCAGGCTCTGCCCTACTTCCTGTCTCGCTGAGGTTCTTTGTGGGCAGAGGGCAGTCTCGCTGCTCCCAGGACCCGACACTTAGCAGGAGTGGAATGAGGCTGTCTACACCTGTCCTCGCGGCTGCCGGCAAGACAGCACGCAGGGTTCCCACTCCCATTTTGCAGGTGAAGAAACCGAGGCCTCAGGTCCGAGAGCCGGGCAGTGCCAGGGGACTGAAGGCATTTACAGCAGGCAGCGGATGTCCAATGTCACAGCGAAGGGGCTGAGCTGGCATCTGACGGCAGAGTCTTCACCTCTGCACAGCCCTGTCTCCCGGGAGCCCAGGGGACCCCGCACCACCTCTGCTCCTCGGCCGCCCGCGGCCCCCAGGAGTACATCGGAGCCGGAGGAGGCCCTGGGCCAAGGGCGGGAAACGGCCGCTGCTCCCTGGACAGAGGAAGCAGGGCCCTTGCCTAACAGAGGAAGCTCCGGGGGTGGGGGTGGTGGGCGCAGGGCCAGGAGGGGGCTCCCGGCTCTATCCCAGGTCCAGGAGGGGGCCACCTCCGTGCCCAGCTCCGGGCCACAGGCTGCCCGAGAGGTGGGGACTCCCAGCCCCCTCCCACCCACCAGCGGCCAGGCACTGGCCCTTTAAGCTGCAGCCAGCCGGCTGGCGTGCCCCACGGGTGAGTCAGCGCCCAGTGCCCGCTGACTCACGCCGGAAGCCTTCCACTGCCCCGGCCTTCTCCCCACACAAGCGACTGAGAACTTTGCTCCCTTCAGGCCCTGAGCCACAGGTTGGCGGATAGTTTCCTGTGCGTCACGCCAGGGGTGGGGGAAGTCCCCAAGTGCCACCTTCCAATCTTTCCGAGAGCCGGGACAGGACAGGACAGGTCAGGGGAGGGCAGCTGCACAGCAGGAAGGGCCGGGACGCGGTGCTCCTGCAGCCTCAGTGTCACCGTCAGGCATCCGGGAGCCACTCGAGGATCAACCAGGAAGTGCCCACAGGGGCAGCACTCACGGTGCAGTGGGGGCACCCCAAGGACAAACGTGGCCAGAGGCAGCAGACCCAGACTGTGCCGGCCAAACGTGCCCCTGCCCTCTGGCCGCAGCTGCCCTCGGCCTCTGATCCCAGGCAGAGACGGCATGTGGGCGAGGAAGCGGGGAAAACCGCAGGGCTGCAGGGCCTGGGGCCTCGCGCGCTCCCGGAAAACTCCCCAGGGCTGTGGCGTGGAGGACGGGGCAGGGCACCCCTGCAGGGCAGGAAGCTTAGCAGCAAAGCTCCCTAAGGTCAAGCGCCAACCACATCCTGCTTGGTCCAAATTCCTCGAGAAGGTGGCGAGAAGGACAACACTGCGGCCTGTGCCCAGGACACGGAGGGCTGGGTCAAGCCACTCCTCCCATCTGACCTCAGTTTTGTCACCTGACAAATGGGTCGGACCGCAGAGAGTATGAAATGTGCCAGCTAGAAAGGGCTCTGCACACAGGAGACATCACCTCTGCTCAGTCCGTCCTCCAGGTCAGGCATGGGCTAGAGGAGATGCCTCAGAACAGAGGTGTGACGGGGGAGGGGGGAGCATCCCACCAGCTCAGCCCAAGCACCCATCACAGAAATGGGACACAGAGGAGCACTGAGCCCTAGAACAGCAGCTCCATCTGTCACACAGCTGTGTGACCTCAAGCAAGGCAATGAACGCCTCTTAGCCTCAGCTTCCTCGTCTGTGAATGGGGCTGTGAGTAAATGGGCTAGTGCATGGCACAAAGAAAAACCTTGGTAAGTGGGAGCTCTTGGGATTTTTGGCAAGAGGTCATTATGGCTTCCCCACCACATGCTGCCACAGACCCCAAAGAGGATGACAGCGTCCCCACCCAACATCATCTGTTACCTGGACCCACAGACTGGAAATGCATCCTGGCCCTCTCTCTGCAGAGAGGCTCAGAGAAGGCAATGCCGGGACTCAGGTCACACAGCATTTGAGTGTTTCCCCAAAGTGCTTTATTCCTTCACACCCATGACCCTTCTCCCTTCCCAGCCCTGCAACTTTAATTTTTATTTTGATGAGGCATTCCCTGCCTGGAAGAGCTGAAGGGCCTTCAAAAACAAACACTGCTTCCAACCTCTTCTTTCCACCCATGAAAACACTGTGGCCCAGAGAGGATGATGGACCTGCCCGAGGTCTCACAGCGCTGGCCAGGCCAGGCCTACACCTGGAGCTGGGGAAAAGAAGTGTCTGATTTCCTGGTTCCCAAGCTCCACGAGGTCTGCGCAGTGCAAGTCCCTCCCCAGCCGTCTTCCCCCTCGAGTGCCTCCTGGGTTACTCACAGTGGTTGGGCAACCGTCAGGGATCCGGCCTCCCACTTATGTAAGACGTAATTACCCTGCCCACCCGGCCGGCTGGGCTCTGGCCCCAGCCACAGCAGCCGCCAGGAGCAGGGGCAGCGAAGGACCCACACCCTCCCTGGGACCCCACAAGCCCTCCAGCTGCCTGGGCTCCCCCAACCGTGGAGAAAAAGAGGCAGAGACAACCCCTGATTAGGGGCCCCCTAAGTGCCAGCTGCTACCTTTCTCCCCCTCACTCTGCAGCTACAGCCCAACAGAGGCAAGGCCTGGATCCCACATGGCTGAGGCCTTTCCAGCAAGAAGAATGGTAACAGTAGTAAAACGCAGCAAGTGCCCCTTCCCCGGCACCTCTGAGCTCTTCATCTCATCACCCACACTTGCTTAGAGCTCTTTAGGATTCACTATCTCACATCCTACGCCAGGAGTCCACGGAAGGTAGGTGTGATAAAGGAACCGAGGCCCAGAGACAGCAAGTTAGGGAGCCGCGGGCAGCCCATTCATTACGGCTGCGTACGGTTTGGGACTCTCTCACACAGCCCAACCCGCTGAGACTCCGACATGCCAAAAACATCCTTTCCTCTTCCTGCCAAAAAAATCCCCCTTTCGCCCTCCAAGTCTCATCCTCCCCCTCTGCATGACAAAGCCTGCTGCCGCAGCCGCCACCTCACAGACATTTCCAGGAAGGCCGGCTGCCTGGAGAAAACAAGAGCAAGCCCATCGCGCGGCCAGCACCCACCGGGCAGCCAGCCCAGGACCCACAGGCAGCGTCAGAGGTGAGCACCGCCCCCCCGCCCGCCCCCGTGCACAGAGAAGCTTGCAAGTCCAGATGAGGGAGCCGATGGAGAGGCCATGCAGTAGGGTGGGGTGGGAGGCCAAGAGAGGCTCCCCGGAAGACAGGGCTGCAGACAGAGCTGCAGGACGGGGTGCAGACCGCCAGGGATGGGGCAATGTGGGACCTAGGAGGGTGGAGAGCCTTGGGGGAGAGGACGGGGAGCTCTGAGCTGGACCGTGGCCAGGGCAGCCACACGGGAGGGGGGCGCTTACAGAGAGATCCGCAGCAGGGGAGCACCACTGGGGTCCCAGACTGGATTCAGCCCTGGGACCCGGGAGTGGAAGGGGGCTGGGTGCAAGATCAGTGTGAATCCCACCTGGGTCCAGCTGAGAGACCCAGACTGGGAGAATTCCTGTCCAAGGTGCAGTTAAGGCCCAAAGGGGGAGGTCCAAGCAAGGTTCCTGACCTGGAACGGGGTGATCAGAACGAGACCCTCTCCTGACTTCGGGCCTGGGTGCAGCCCCAAGGCCTAAACTGGGGTCCGGCTGGGCCCGGGACCTAAGGGAGGCGTTCCGGGCAAGGGAGCTGCCCGGGTGCGGGCCGGGGGACCGCGCAGAGGTCGGGTCCGCAGCCCGGGCGTTCCTACCTTTGGATGCGGGCACACCGGCGGGCTGGCTCGCGGCAGGAGACTCCATGGTGCAGGCGGGTCGGGGCGGCGGCGGGACTAGTCCAGGGGGCGGCGAGCTCGGCCCGGGCGGAGCATGCTCATGGCTGCGGGCTGGCGGCCCGGGCGGCTAGCAGGGCGTCGGCCGGTACGCGTCTGCGGCAGGCGGCGGCGGAGCCAGACTGGGCAGCGCGGCGGGTGCCCCGGCCGGACGGCGCCGACGCAGGCCCCGCCCCGAGCACCCATTGGCCCGCCGGTCTCCGGGCCCGGCCCCTGCCTATCAACCTCCGGCCGGGGCCTGCCCGTCAAGCTCAAGCCTCGCCCTCCATTGGCCCAGGGTACGGCTCCTCCCCCCCCCCG